TGTGTGTGTGTGTGTGTGTGTGTGTGTGTGTGTGTGTGTGTGTGTGTCACACGCATGCAAATCCTCACACTGAGAAAACATCGAACCAGAACCACAACAAGCTACTGGACTCTCTTCACACCTATTTGTTTGCTCTTTTTTTTTAATTGTGTAATTTCTATTTTGTAAACAATGTTTGTACTGTGAATGTGATTCATTCTCCGAACTGTATAGTTGTGTATAATTTAGATTATTATATTTATGCTGTCTGTCTCTCCATCTGCCTTGGTATTTCTGTTTTGTTTTCTTTCTTTTCTTTCTTTCAATCCTGAAATGTGTTGACATTGTAGAACGCAATAGTGTGTGTGTACTTGACTCACGGTCTGAAAACAATGGTGCTAAATTAGGACTTTTACCTGATCTTATTTATTCTAGAGTGAAAACATCAATAAGAAATGGAACACTTGGTGCTGTACACGGGGACGTTTGTAAAGCCGCTTTCTGGTATTTAATGTTGCTATCATCTGGTTCTTTGAATGCCGAGTGTACATCTGTAGACGCCACCTTTTGGATGAAATGTGCTCTGCAACAGCTTGGTCTGAGTATAAACATTTACGAGGAACTCTGTTCATGTTTCTCAGTTTCAAACACACGACATCCCGCTTTGATCTCAGAAGAGAGCTGCTTATCTTTTAGTGAACAAGACGCACTGTTTTTGTACATAAGTTTTTGTTGTTCCTTGTATGTCTCTCCACCATAAACAGAAAGGTATATAAAATAAGTATCTATATACAGTCTATATATATATATATATATATAAATATATATATGAAAGAATAGAGGTGTTCTGGCGTTGGCATGGTGACCTTAACCTCGGCCTGTTAAACAGGAGGCTTGAAGCCAAGGAAAGGGAAGCTTTGCCAACACAGGACCTTAACAGATGGCGCCGAACAGCCGCACGTGACTCCTTGTGATAGAACTAGAACCTCCAAGTCTGTGTGCATCGAACGCATACAGACAACGGTGCTGTGGCTCGAACACAACGGGACTAGTAGAACTGTCATGACTTTTATCAGATGCTTCCACATCTTTTGTTTCTTTTGTTTTTTTTAATCAAACAAGATTCTGCAGGAAAAAAGAAAAATGGTGCTTCTGTTTCCAAACGATGGACATTCAGATCTTACAAACTAAGTCTTCACTGGTGCATAAACACAAACAGCTACGCGTCAACCTCTTACACAGACACACTGTCTTCAGACGTCTTGCTGACCAGGTCCTACCTTGTGATGTGAGCGGACTGTGTCATCGCAAAGACGTGCTGGTGTAAATCTTTCTGCGTGTGCTTCTCCCCCCCGACTTACCGGTGCATATCTAAGGGAAGATTAGACTAATAGTTCAAAGCTTTATTGTAAACTCCTGTCCTGTGCACTCACACGTGTGTTTCTCACCTGCGGGGAAGTGATTCTAGGACATGGCTAGAGACTGTAGTTTGTTACCAGCACTGAGAGGTCTTTTGTAATTATTGTTGATGCTGTTTTGATTTTTCTTATTCTCGGTGTTTGATACAATTGCAGTTACATGTTATGCTTTTCAACGGTGTCTTCAGATTCCTGTCCGTTTTTTGTAATACTACTAGTCAGACAGACAGCACGGTGCTCTCCTTCACTTAAAACAAGGAAATTGCAGCTATTGATAAATACTACTCTTCTTCTGTTGTGCTCCGGGGTTTTATGGTTTTGGTGATCTGCAACACGAGCTTGCCCGGCGGCTTTCTGACGGTCCAGTTTAACCTGCGGAAATGTCTCTAATCTGGAGGCGCGGCGTGGTGTATGTGCAAGTGAGAATAGTCGTTGGGAGTGTCATAAATTATCCTTACAGATTTCAACCTACTAGCTATATATATATATATATATATATATATATATACATATATATATACACACACACGTCAAAAGGGATGCGGTGCTGTTATTCAAGCCCTTTGGTATTAGAGCATGATTTGAATCAAAGCTTCTATGCACTTCTCTATATTCTCCTTCCTGGTGCATTATTGATAATCTGCGAGAGCTTTGCAGTCGAGGCCGTTTACTCTGAATCCTGCCAAAGGTCTTAACTCAGGAACTTCCCAGATGGCTTGAAACGATGTAAACAATTTTTCTTAAACTACTGCATGTCACAGACTTATTCGCCATCTTGTGGCAAAGATCAAGTCCCTTTGTAATCCAACTCAGGACCAGGACAACCCCTCAGTAAGTGAAATTCAGAAGTCAGGGTCTCCTCCGATTGATTCTCAGCTGTCACATACATCCAGCGCCTCCAGTGAGATCCAGCTTTATGAAGCTTTACGAGTCTGTCTGACCTCCGGAAGCTGTGAAATGGCGACGACTTTCAGCATCTTCCTCATCTCACACATGCCTCTGTCTAGATTTGCGTCACCAAGGAGGTGGTTCACTGTGCTTTGTTGGGATTCTCCCCTTTATTTTGTAGGGGGGTTAAACACAGGTCACACGTGACGTACAGTATGTGTACAGTGATCTCTGATCGGTGAAGCCAGGGCAGGTTTGAGGTGCAATAATGGCAAACGTACTTTCCAAAAGGCCCTGGGGTTTTTCATGACTTGTTACTGTTCGGTGTTGGTGCTTTTATCCTAAGATGTTATGATGAAACAAATGGAATTCCTCTTTTCTCCCTCCTCCCTGCATTTTATGACTATTAATAAAAAATGTTTCATATAATATTTGAATTTTCTTGTGTGTTGTGGCATTTGTGTGATCCATTTATTTCCTCTCATAGAAGATTGGTGAAGTTTACACATTATAGTTTGAAACGCAAATTAGTTTTATTGTGAAATACATAAGCAAAAATACAGCACATCTCTGGTTATGATCATCCTCATAAGCTCAATATTTCCACCCTACAGATACGTTTTAACTAGGTCAAATTGGATTTATTTTTAATGAGTACTGCTGCATTTTTGCTTCTCCACAAATAGCCGGACCTCCGTGTAACGGAACTGTACGGTGAAGGTTTCCACTTGGACTCGTACATTAAAATATAAAGACTTTGATGGGGCCCCGACATCGTGGCCCACAGGATGTTGGATGAAACCTCCAAGAAAAAGTGTCGGGAGTTGCATCAGATTATGTGATGTTTTATTTAATTGAAATGCTCCTCAGTGCGAGCCCCGACTCCCACAGTTTAGACTTATAACCTCGCATTGCTGTCAGGAGGATGTCGTACCTGCCAAGAAATGTTCCACAAGTACTGTGTTCACAACACCAGTGAACAGTTCTTGTCATTCCTCACTGAAGTTGTGTGATGTACAAGAATGAGCCTTGGCTTAATCTCTTGGAAAACACTGCTACTAAACAGCGCCGAGACCTTGACCCTCTGCAAAACAAGACCGCAGCTGTGAGGGTAGAGATGGGAGTGACGGCTCTTTGAAGGGAATCGGACGTCTGCGTTCCACTCTCTGGGAGCAGGACTTTGTTGTCTGGTCCTCCCCTGAGAGCGAAATACATTGTACACGTTCATAAGGATAACGTGTGCCTGAAGGATATCGTTTCATTCAGATCTGTCGTCACATTCACAAATGCTGGTATGGCCCACCGGGGTGAGGGAGTTCTGTTCAAGGAATGGAAAGCTGCAGGAATGACGTGTTTTTGTTGGCCGACCCGGAAGTTAGCATCGCACTCTTTGCCTCGATTTAAAAAAAAAAAAGCCAATAGGAATTTTCCTTTGGATTATTCCAGAAAATCAGCTCGGTGGCAAACATTATACTACACGTTTTGTCCAAACAAGATTACAAATGAACACCACTTTTGTGACCTTTTAAAGCGCGAATCGGCAGAAGTAAAAAGCTAACGTTGGGCTATAAACGAGGACGCATGAGCGCGGGTTTACTCAACGAGGCCGTGAAGGTGAACCAGTCAGCGGGATGACTTTCTCATGTAGCTACTTGTTAGCAGCTGCCTTTTTTAGACACATTACCGCTTAAAAATTCACAAGAGGTGTATTTATTGACGTATTTTATATCGTTTCTTAAGTGTTTACCACAGAATTTATTTCAGGCATCTAACTGAAAACTCGATTCAAAAAAAACTTCGAGACGAGTTAGATATTTAGGAAAATACGCATATTTGCTTTCTTTCCATTGATACCACTTATGTCTGTTAAGCTCAGCCAAACTAACTTACTAACAGCTAGCTTGGCTCTGTTCAAAAGTTTAAAAAAAATCAACCTACCAGCACCTCTAAAGCTCACTACATAACATGTTATTGAGTGTATTAGTTTGTTTAATACGACATACTGAATTGTAAGAATGTTGTTTTACACGGGGTTGGTCATGAGCCGCACTATTTCTTGACAGGGCGCAGTTCAGAAAGTCACTGCTTCTGGCCGAGAAATAGTCCGGCTTATAACTTTATGTAAAACCACAACTTGTTGCAGTCGCCACTGCAGATTGTGTGCGGATTTGATAAACAATAACGTGTTGATTGTGCTGCATTCACATGGAATCGGGCAGACGATGTCAGTAAGTCCAGTCCAAGTCGTCCAAAGTTAAAACATTTAAACTTTTTGCTGTCCACGACAGAATTTATAATAAGCATCGTGAGCTTTAGATGTGCTGGTAGATCAATGTTCCAGTCTTTATGCTAAGCTAAGCTAACTGTCAAATAAAGTACTTCATAATCTTCTCATAACTGGCAACAAAGCAGTCCTTAAACTAGATGCTTTCTAATATACAATCTTGTATAGTTTTAGTTTTGCACTAATTTCAGTTCAAGTACAATATATCATATTTTATTTTTTACTCTTCTTATACACAGTCTGTTTGTTTTCTTTACTTAGGAGCATTGCTCTGCTCAGTCGTTCTTATAACTCATCTGCGTCCTTTCTACATTTCCCCATGAAGGGTTAAAACACCTGGTATCTCTTTTGCTTTAGACAGAGAGCTGTTCATGAGAAAGTTACAAGAAGTGCACTCTAACCTCCCTTGATATGAGTCCTCATCACCTCCATTAGTCTACAGACAGGGAGGTTCGGTATCTGCCTTCTATTTGCTTTTCATTCTCTCGCGTTATCAGACTTCAACCTGCTTTCTTGAGGTGAAAAACAAGCACATTTCTGTGCAGCAAACAACTCGAATAGAATCCCATCTCATCAAGGACACCTGATATTCCTACTTTGGCAGCGTGTTCCCCAGTTAGTGAGAAGGGAAGGTGGGAGGATACAACTCCCTTCCTCGTGAGCTTGACCCATTCAAAACAAGCGACTGGGAAAGGTCTGACCACACAGACACACACGCACAGACGGTGAAGGATGTTGTGTTTGGATTTCTTCTGCTGTGGAGCGTTGATGCTCTGCTGCACCAGGCTCTGTGTGGCCCTGCCGGCCTCACCTGGACTGCAGCTGATCCCGGCCCACGACCCCCCAGTGACAGGTCAGACTCCGCACAATTCAAAACCTCTGAGAGTTTGTGCATTAATATTCATGCAATTCTGTGCAATGCCTTCATTTTATGTTCGGGTGCTCTTTGTTTATTCTTCTCTTTTAGTGTTTTTTGGATTGTTTGCATGTGGTTCCTGCTTCCTAGCTTTGATCTTGTTTTTCAGTGCATACTGTAATGTGTTCTTTTTAATGCAGAGCACACCTTCCCATCAACAGAGGCCTCATCAGCCTCCACGGTCTCTCATCACGGCCCCCACAATGCACCGTGCTTAGTGGACGACATTTTTGCGGAGTTGCGTGAAGCTGTCGGGAGTGACGGCGAACTCACAAACCGCAGTTTGACTCAGTTTGGAATCTGCACTGTGTCTGATAGCTCGTCAGGCTCGGTCTTGGTACAGCTTGCAAAGGAAATGAGCCGAAACCAGAGACACGGAGTGGAGGTGCTGCATCCAACTGGAGGTGTGAGCGCTCTCTGATCGCAATAAATTAACCGGTTGGATGTTTTTTTTGTCTATATCTTACAGCGTGTCTTGTTTTCTCCATCAGTGCTCTTGGCAGAGGAAGACGAGAGAGGGAAGCTCATGTTGACCTTTGACCTCCCACAGTCCCCTCTGCTCGGGCTGAGCCCTGCGCTGCTCTTGGCGTTTGAAAGCCCCCCCACTGGAGGAAACCTGGTCGTCACTTTCACGAGTCAGTCGCTGCATCCTGACGCACAGGTAAAGGAAGGCCTTGTGTTGATGACGCATTAACGGAAAACTGAAGTTCCTGAATGTGTTGTGTATGATTTTCGTCACAGACATCACTCTTGTTTTCCTGTCTTTTCCAGACTGTGTGCATCTCAGGAGAAACGTTGTACATAATGCTGACGGGGAAAGCATCAGACGGCAACGTTCCCCAGAAATGGAGCATTGCTGTTGAGACAAAATCCCCCGATATGAGTAAGACATGAGTAAGATATAACATGAGTAAGACATGAGTAAGATATAACATGAGTAAGACATGAGTAAGACATGAGTAAGATATGATTTGTTTCATTAGCACCCTCCTCACATGTTCCTCTCTTTGCAGACCAAAGCCTAAAAGACATCCTTACTGGTGGAAAATCAGGAAGTAACATCAGCATGGTTCCGCTTCTGCTTTTCTCTGGTGAAAGAGGAACTGATTCAAGGTTGTAATGGCTTTTATGTTCCCGATTGAAATGTTAGCAGACTATTACCACACTGCTCAGCAACTTTTTTTTTTTTTTTTACTCTCTTTCTCAGATATCATCATAGTTCATCCCTGGCCTCTTCACAGACCCCCTTCCTCTGTGAGCTGAAGCGGTTCCTGGGGGACGTCCTGCCTCAGGACCACCGTGAGTCCTCTCCAGTCCACCTGGACTCCTTACAGTCCCTGCCTCCCCTGACGCTGGGCTTATCCTCCAGCGACACCCTGCTGGCGGGACTGATCAACTCCTCTTCCATTACCATCTTCTCCTTCGGTAGCTGGGGCTCCGTGTTTCCGGTGCACCGTGGAGAACTGGCCTTTTCTCCTGCGCTGCTGGAGGAGCTCAAGCAGAGGTTGGAGCAGAGCGTGGTGAAGATAACGACGGTAATACGGGAGGAGCAAGTGGGTCATAGAGCCACCGAGAGGCTGGGAAGGCTCAAGGACCTCAGTGCGTTTCCGATGAAGGAACCGGCAGCAGGTGATGTGTACAAACATGTCTCCTAAAGCAGTGTTCATTCAAACCCACAGCCCTGTCAGATTAATTCAAGTAATCCTTGATCCACATCCCCACGTCATGTTCCAACTGTGTTCATTTGAACTGATTTTAAAGTGGATTTTATTTAACTATATAAAATTGATATAAAAGTGGATGTCACAAAATGTTTCATATAATTCAGGGATGGGCAATTTTTTCACCTCTTTATAAAACGCAGTAATTTGTATGGTTTTGATGAACTGTGAGTGGTAAGAGTAAACGTTATGATCAGTGGTGGAATATAACTAAGTATATTTGCTTAAGTACTGTACTTAAGTACACATTAAAGGTACTTTACTTAAGTATTTCCATTTTATTCAAATTTGTACTTCCACTCCTACATCTAGAGGGAAATATTGTACTTTTTACTCCACTGCATTTGTCTGGCAGCTTTAGTTACTTTGCACATTACAATTTTTCAAACCGTTCCTAACTACCCAAACTGAACAACAGTGTATAAAGGAGTTAAAATGAGCTCCACCTAAAACATCTGCAGCAGGAATAATGATCCAAACAAATATACATGTAATATCCATCGCACACATTCACGAACATACGAAAGTATGTAAATCGAGAGAAAAAAAGTCGCCTTTAAAATAAAAGCAAAGCAGCGGTTTTCTGTGCGTGATGAACACTTATCTACGTCTTATTATTTTCATGCATTTTTAATTGCAACACATTATATTGAGGCGTCAGCGGACCCAATATGTGTCTATACTGTGTGTATTTAAATCAAATCAAATTTATATTCTTATTGAATTAGTCTTTCCACACATACACCCTGCAGATGAAGCCCCTGCTTGGGAATCCCAGTATAATCACGTATTTGCATTATAAACCCATCTGACATAAATTTCTTTGGTATCAAGATCCTGCATTACTTTTTAACTGGTGCTTCTGTTACCTCTAGAGCAGGAGACCATCAGTACCGTGCTTTTCTTCTGCTGAAGGCCCTGCAGACGGTGGCCCGTGTCTACGAGGTGCAGAGAGGACTGCGGGCCACCAGAGCTGGTCCAAACAACCCAGTGAGGGCCAACATATGTGGTCTGAGGAGCCTCGCCGTGTCCCTTGAAAAGCGCCTCGGCCTTCCAGAGACCGTCAACATCAACAACTGCCACGGCTCTTGTGCTTTCCCCCTGACCAACGGCATCAACCACGCCGTCCTGCTCAAATTCCACATCGAGAGCGAGAACGTGGACGAGCGGGCGCCATGCTGCGTGCCCGTGGCCTACGGAGCCCTGGAGGTGGTGGAAGTCAACGAACAAGGGACTTACCTCTCCATGAAACAAGATGTGGTGGCCAAGGAGTGTGGATGCCGCTAAAACTAGACTGTAGTTAAGTGAAAATAATTGTTACTTGCATTTATTTATTCACACAGAATTAATACACTTGAAGTACAAACATGTTAATTCACAGAGGTCTCTTTAGGCCATATACTTATATATATGTAGACAATGTATTATTTGCAGTATTCCCACACTTAAAAATATTCAAGTTTATTTAAACCAAATAAGTCAAATGAGTATTATCACCCTTCTCTGTCATATTTTTATTTTAATTACTAATCTTATTTGTATAAAAAGCCATTGTTTTGTCAGGGCAAATTTCTTATCATTATCATAAGAATCTTAATTAAGATTCCATCATGTAATTATTGTTCCAAATATGTTAATAACTTGGTGACATCTGATGACAATACAAGATTGTGTTACAATGTGGCGGTAAGTGACATTTCTAAATTGGTGATACTAAAAGTTAGATTTGATTAAATTATTGAAGATATAAATGTGATACAGATTTCAACTGCCTGACAAATTTAATGGCGTTCTCTATAAATTAACAAAAATGGATTAATAAATGTATCATTCTGGGTTTTTATATTATTAAATGAAACGTATATGAAAGGCTGTTTGTGCTCTTTATTCAGAAACCTGTTGTTGTGTGACAGTTGATGACATGTATTTTTTATTTATTTATACAAATCATACTTTAGGTTTGGGTTTCAGGATTGCTCTGTTGCCAATCGGCTTTTTTCTTCTTCTTATCGCTCCGACTTCTTCGGATCCCCACCACGACATGAAATTGTCCCATATGGAAATCTGGAGACGGACAGCAGGAAACAACAAACAGCCTGGGTCAAAAAGTGATGCCTCAAACACACACATTATAATCAACTACATGACAACAGGAAAGATTTAAATATCTTTTATTCTACAGTCACTTCAAGGATTAGATTTGATGATGTCTGCCAGTATTCTGTTGTATTTAAAGGGAAATCGACCCTTAAATAGAGTGATAATTCTTTATCATTTTATAGTTTTTAATTCTTGAATTTGTTCAAGTCTGCCAATCAACTGAATAGCAGATCGACAGATCCTGGAGCTACTTCACTGTCAGAAATATATTGCATACTCATAATCAGTTGTGACCTTATTGTATTTGTATGATGCAATGAAATGTAATCATACTTGCAAAGCATTGTGGCTGTTCTCTTAATACTGCTTGATCTGTAATCAGAGATTCTGAGGTCTCTGAAAACAGCTCAACAACAGCTTCCACTGAGACAACAAACATCTGTAACACCTGTCATCTTTCAGCGCACCTGTCTAGTCACTGGTCCCCGTTGATCATCCAGATGTAATACCCCCCCAAGTCCATATCGGATCAAGTACCAGTTCTGCACAAATGTTGGTGTGTGTATTGCTAATTAGTCGAGCATTAATCTGGCATAACCAAACCTAAATGTTGTCTCGACTCATGAAGGTAAGTGGACTATTTAAAGCCCCAAAACGTAATTTTGAAAAATGTAAAATAACAAAGAAATGGAAGTGGAGCGCGGTATTGCTGCTCATCACTGCACTAAATTCTCAGCCAAACAAATGGATACTTCAGGGTGTCGTTATTAGTTGTTGTATTTTGAAATAAACCCTCTATGAGCTTAATGAGAAAATGGCTTTGCGACACTAAACGTCAGCCTACTGCTGGTTAGTGACTACTCATTCTGTTCACTTGCTGCAATTAAAATGAAATAATCTCCACATTCAGTGTAAAGTATCTTCAAACTGAACATAAACAAAGGCCTCCACTGATCTGTATCTGAGTTAAACAATAGAACTCCACAAAAACCTAAACAAATTCAATGAACCCTTTATCCGTGTTACAGAGACAGACATTACCTGATATAGTGAACCATCCTGCAGACTTCCAAGGAAAGACATGATACCTGTGTCCTCAACAAAAGAATCCATTGCATCTATAATACAAAAGCATGTAAAAAAGACAGTGAAGGCCTGCTGGCTTTAACAGAGGAGAACAAGAATCTCACAGCCAGTGTGGTATTGAAATGAATAGAATAATACACTCACCGTGCACTTCACTGACCCCCGAGCTCACGAGCAGAAGGACCAGTGCCAGCACTAAGCAGCGGTTCATGGTGAATCCTTTCCATGGATTTGGAACATCGCTCAAATCTTCGATGGACAGAATGCGCTCATAAGACACTATGGACGGACACAAATGAGTCAGACGCTAGTTGCCATAGAATTGACTCAGTGTTTTTGACATTATGTCTTACTTGTGATGGGTTCAGATGTTCCAACTCTCGCTTCGAGAATCCTGTAGGTGGAGGTTTAAGTTCAAATCTGGATCCGGAATTAAGCTGTAAATTAAGATGAGAAATTATGTTTCTGTCGAGCACAAAACCAACTGAAAGTCTACGTTTTTTACAATGTTTGTGCATGTGTTGCTACTCTTTCAGACGGTCCTGTGTGTCACAGTCCAACATTGGACAGCTTAAAATAGTCACCTGCAGCTAGTTGCAAAAGATAATTATGATTTTAAGGGTTTAGTTTTATATGAACATCTGAACAGGAGAAAAAAAGAAACGTACCTGATTTGACCCGTCTGTTGTGTCTCACCATTGAAGTGAAAGTTAAGTGGTTGCTTTGATGGTGATTTCAGCAGAGACGGTGTTTTCCACAGCCTGCACCATGCTCCTTTGCTTCTTGATTGACAGGCACAGATGAGAGCAGTTGAAAAAAAGGAAAATGACACTCACAGTGTGGACTGAGACTGTTGATACTGACCAGCAGTTAGACTGTAAGTTGACAAGTATAACAAGCAGCTTTAGCCTGTATTCCACTGCTAACAAAACAAATGCGATGATATAATGAAACTATAAATCTTGCCCTGTTGGGGAAGAACAGCACAGAGCGACTCTATTGCACCTCACCAGTGTGTTTAGTACCAGTAGGGTGAAATGAGAGGTGGCTGCCGCTCTGCACTGTGCTTACATGCTGGTTTCCGCTGCTTTTGGCATGGTGATTGGTGCATGACAACAAACAGTGTATGTTGGTAGAATGACGATTAAAGCGTCAGTCGTAATAACAAGTAATACAATTTTACATATTTTTTGGCATTTGGTACTTTTTGGTTTGGATACTTTAACGTATTTTTTTGAAGAATGTATTTTTACATGGCTGTCTCGCCCTACAGGGATATAAAGTAGCCCATGCTCATCATTAAATGAAATAGTCAGAGACAGATAGTTCCAATAACTTATATATTTTAAACGTCTCAGTAAAGAGGCTCGTGACGTGCGTCATATGTTCACATTGACACGTCATAGTGGACAGGACACGCCCCTCACAAATACTGCAGACTGCCAGCTCTCTGACTCCAGCACAAGGCGGCGAGGAGGGAGACGACAGAGCCGCTGGTGTTGGACGCTGGCCGGATGGTTAAATCTAACCTACAGACGATTTTGAATAGTCATTGTTTTGTAAGAGAAAAAGAGAGAAACTTATCCGAGATGCCTGTTATTGAGCAATCCAGTAATACACCTGAACGTGAAAGGTATGTTGTTGTAGGGATTGTTATTTAGCGAACTAGCTCACTGAGCTAAGCTACATTTAAAAACCGCGGCCTAGCTTAAGAGGTGCTATTCCCCGTGTTTCTTGTTTACATAACATCTCAAGCTATTGCTAGCGTTAAATGCTGACACGCTAGCTAGCTAACATTAAAGGTCCAGACTCAAGCCACTGGTGGTGTTTTATTTATTTCAACATAACATACGTTAAGTGATAAAATAACTATGTATGTTTGGGTGATTAGGAGCTTGTTGCCTTAGCTTTAATATAATATATTAGGGCTATTGCTAGCTGCGTTAGCTTAATGGCTAACGTTACAGTTAATATATCGCATGCTTTTTTCATATTTTTGGCGTTGCAGTGAAAGCAATCGATGACAATAATACATAAATATTGTGACCATATTTCACACTGAATTTGACCGTTGGTCTCGTAAGAACGCTCGGTGCATTGAAAGCGTTTATTTACGGTTATGTAAAAGCTAGCTTGTTGCTAATCAACGTAGCTGAATTGATCATTTGTGGCTTCATCAATTTAATCAATATTGCTCTCTAACGTATTATTATATCAACATACTGTGTGGGCTTTTGCAAGCCAATGAATTCCGGATGATTTAAAGTAATTTAATATAACTGTTTGTGATTTGACTGGAAATTAAAAGCCTAGAAAAACAACCGTTGGGGATTTTGACGCCTGGAAAAAAATGTAGTCATGGTTTTTAAACGAGTTGTGAGTGATTAGCCGTTGGGGTGTTTTTCTACTTAATTCTTGTCCTGACAAGATCCTCGTCGAGGCTGTTTGTGAAGCTCTATAGTGTCGTGAAGGACTCGTAGGAAATTTCCACTGCACTGCGAAGGGGGGGGGGGGGGGGGG